CAACAGAAGCGACAAGAATGGTTATGGGATGGGGAGGGAGCAAGGCTGCCAGTCCTCCCAGGTACAGCAGTTCTGAGATGCACAGCCTGGGCTCTGGAATTAACTGTAGGCAACAAGCAAAAGGAGAAAATAAGCCAGTGGGAAGGCTTAGCTCATCCTTTAGGGAAAAATACCTTTTTCCATGAAAAACTGAGGACTTGGTTCAGAAGAGGAGGATGCTCACCAGCACATGAAACTTCCAATGCAATCCATGCAGGCCATTCACCTGTATTTTTTTCCTTCTTATAATCAGCAGCAACATCTGCAAAGAGGAGGAGCTGCCCCTTTTCCCTAGAAAATCCCTGTTTTTCAAGGCCTTGCCCTATTTCTTCCCAGAGGCTTTGGGGAATGAGGTTACCATGCAGCAGCACTAAACTGGCGCTCCAGCAGGGATAATTAAACACCAGTTTAATCTTTCCTTACTCTTTAAGATCTAGGACTTAGGAACCACCTGTTGAGTGAACGTGTAATTAAATCCCCACTGCTAAAGTACACCAGGAATGGCCCAGCAGCTCTGCCGTGTGAGGAGCTCTCAGTTCCCTCCAGTTATGTGAAGTGAGCTTAAACAGCAGCTCTGAAATCCGACAAGCAGGGGAACAAAGGCTCAAAAGAGTACCTTGTCACTATTGCTTTGGAAGTAAAACAGCCTTTAAGTTGAATAACTCAGATCTGTAGATCACAGAATCCCAGCCTGGTTTGTGTTGGAAGGGATCTTAGTTCCAACCCCTGCCATGGGCAGGGATCCCTTCCACTGGAGCAGCTTGCTCCAAGCCCCTGTGTCCAACCTGGCCTTGAACACTGCCAGGGATGGGGCAGCCACAGCTTCTCTGGGCACCCTGTGCCAGCGCCTCAGCACCCTCACAGGGAAGAGCTTCTGCCTAAGAGCTCAGCTCAGTCTCCCCTCGGGCAGGTTCAAGCCATTCCCCTTGGCCTGTCCCTACAGGCCCTTGTCCCAAGCCCCTCTCCAGCTTTCCTGCAGCCCCTTTAGGCACTGGAGCTGCTCTCAGGTCTCCCCTTCAGGAGCCTTCTCTTCTCCAGGCTGCCCCAGCCCAGCTCTCTCAGCCTGGCTCCAGAGCAGAGCTGCTCCAGCCCTCGCAGCATCTCCATGGCCTCCTCTGCACTCGCTCCAACAGCTCCAGGTCCCTCTTGTGCTGCTGCCCCAGAGCTGGATCAGGGCTGCAGGGGGGGGTCTCCCCAGAGCACAGCAGAGGGGCAGGATCCCCTCCCTGAGCTGCTGCTCACGCTCCCTTTGATGCCGCCCAGGATTAAAACCCAGGAGCTTACTCCTTGCTCTGAAGTCAGCAATTTTGCTTCCTGAAAATAGTGTATGTGTATTGGGCAGGAGGGTGGCATTTTTATGGTTGCTTTTGCTCTATAAAGCTCCTCCCAAGGCTGAGCTGCACCACTGCTCCTGGCACAGTGCAGTGAGCTGCCACCCAGGGCTCATTGCCTGCTCCTCAGAAGAGTAACCCTTGATCAGGCTGCGCTTTGCAGCTCCTCTGCCCCCATGCAAAGGCTCTGTCCCACTCCTGATGGTGAGCAGCACCTCCCCTGCCACCTCAGCCCTTACCCTGCAGACTCTCGAAGCTCTGCTTCAGGGGGAACAGACACTGCAGGAGGAGGCAAGAACTCCTTTCACTCGCAGGCTGGGTAAACAGGACACCCTGCACAGGCTGGAATGAGCCAGAACAGAGCCTGCAGAAGGCAGCAAGAGGAAGAGGAGCTGCAAACAAGTCAAGGTCAATCCTCATGGAGAGTGTTGAAGAAGAGTCCTGATGCCCCCTGGAGGGGTTGTGCAAGGAGAGGATGATGACAGAGCCCCTCACCATCACCTGGGCTATTGCCCCACTATTACTGTGTGCAGCAGGACTGTTCTGCTGTGAGGTTCCCTGGGTCCTCTGGATGCTGAGAGTGCTTCTGCACGTGCCACTTTCCCAGGGCTCCTATGGGAGCCAGGAAGGCTGGTGGCTGGTTGGAACTTGAATGCTGGTTGTGGGTTTTCCTACAGGGCAGACGCGACTGCTTGGGAGCAGGTTTGTTCCAACTTGCAGAACCCAAAAACTCTCCCAGTCCAAGCCAAGAAGCTTGATGTTGGCATTAAAGGTTGTAGCTGGGTGCAGAAATAAGCAACTCTATTCCGAGGCTGCATCACTGCAAAACCAGGTATGCCAGGGTGCAGAAACAGGTGGCCAAAAGACTCTGCAATTGTGGTATTTCATGGCCTCCATTTTTGAATGTTTAAGTCCCTGATGGAAGAATCAGTTGGAGGAGTCTCAAAGTACCTGGCACTACCTCCAGCCAAACCACTCGCCCCTGTGCTGGAGCAGGCCTGGAGGGGAGGCAATGCTTGGAGTCTCAGTGAGCGCTGGCCCAAGCTCCCCTGGATCCTGCATGTCCCAGCACGCAGCAGTGCCTTTCCGTAGCTGGAATGGGATGCAGGTTCCCACAGCTGGCTGGGAGCGCTCCTCTTCCCTGTGCCGAGGTCAAGCATCCTAGTGTAGGGCTCGAGCTGCTGCTGCCTGGGTGGCTGGAGATCCCCAGGCCCCTTCTCCAACACCAGTTCTCTTCCCTGCACAGGCTTGTTGGCGCTGTGAGGTGATCCTCAGGGAGGGTGGGAGAAGCACAAGGTGCCTGACAGCACGAGGTGGGAGAAAGGAGCATCCAGGGGATGCTTTTGCCCACCTGGTACCCAAATTGCCCTGGGGCATGCTGCCTCTCACCCAACATCAACCACATGGATTCAAGGGGCCTGAAGGAGGTGCATTGGGTTGGCAGGACAAAGGATTTTATAAAGGACTTGGGAAGCCAGTATGCATATCCAGCATGGAAAAAGAGGGGAAGAACCAGCATGGAGGAAGCACAAGGGTGAGCAGCCCTGATCTGTCACGCCTGCCAGACACAGCCCAGCACACACCGATTCCTGCATGCATATCACATCCACACCTTCAAAACAAACACTGTGAGAGTTATCCAGGCTGATCTTCCAGAAATGGGCACCCGCTGTCCCAGATGTAACCCTAATTAGAGAGCACTGGAATGAGGAGGGTATGTTCAACACTCCTCCTGCTCCAACCGGTTGCTCTGCTCAGAGGGAAGCAGCACCTCCAGCACAACAGCGCTTTTGGAGCTCACCGGCCCCTTGCGCCTGTGCAGGGTGAGCCCATCGTGGCAAAGCTGCTCCTCAGCCAGCACCCTGCTCTGGTTATGCAGCCAACCGAGTCCTGCCAGCGGTGGGTGCAGCTAAAGGGAAAGCCCCGGCCCCAGCGCGGTGCTGACACCCAGTGGAAACCACGGCGAGATGCCCGCAGAGAGAAACTGCAGCTGAAATCACTTCCTTCTGCTCTGCTACTCGACAGGATGGAAAACAAAATCTGGCTGGCAGGAAAACACCAACGCCCTGCCCTCGTAAAGTGGAACAGGGATTAGAGATGCTCTCTGGTCATTTCTCGCTTTATGGTACTTATAGAATCAGCGACATTGGAAAAGCCCTTCAAGCTCACCCAGTCCAACCGTTTCCCAGCACTGCCAAGGCCACCACTGACCCATGGCACTGAGGCCTCGTCTCCACGGGGTGTGAACACTTGCAGGGACAGTGCCTGCAGCCCTGCCCTGGGCAGCCTGTTCCAATACTCGATGAAAGGAGAGACGAGGTTGTGCGACAACAGCAAGTGAAAGACTCCAAGACACTCCTGCACTCTGCAGTGCCGACCACTGTATCCACAATGCAAACTTCCCAGCACAAACAGTGACCAGGATTGCTCGCAAGCTCCCTGTTGGCTCTAGGGACTGCGAGCAGCTCCCTCGCCCTCCTCCTGCACAGCCCCAGCCAAGGCCTGGGGAGCCTTCAGCAGCGAGGCTGTGGCTGCAGATGGGATATTGCTGTGGCCAGAGGAAGGTTTCTGCTCCTGCCTCTGCAGCTACTGCAAACCAGACTGTTCGTAGCAGTGGTGACAGTGATGCTACCTGGCTCCAGAAGGACCAGAAGGTTTCTTCCCACCCAACCCATGCTATGATTCTATGACTGGATCTTTAAATAGCCATCAGGCAAGGTTTATAGTCACAGTACAAATATTTTATATGCACTGGAAAGTTTGGGTTTGGTAAAAGAAAGCAAGATCCTCCCCAGACAAAACCAACTCCTTTGCATTTTCAAGGATGGCACTATTGCCAGGCACACAGAAAAGCTGCAGTGCTTGCAGGCAGTGTTACAGTGAAGGACATGGATGCTTTGGGATACACACCCTGCACAGCACCCCAGCTGAAGGCAACAAGGAAACTCAGGCGCCCCAGAAGACTCAACTTCTGGTTTGCACAAAGTCACCTGGTCTTTTATATAGTCTGCACAAACACAGATCTTACATCTGATGTGAGCTGCAAGACAATACCAAGACGGGGTTTTACATATGGGAGGTATAAAAGCAAGCTGAGAGCAGGGGCCCTGCAAGCCTCAGCTCTGTTCAGCTGCCTCTTGCCTGGATTACAGTACACATCTGTGGATTAGAGGTTATGAAGGAACACAGGTTCTGCCAGTATCATCCTGCCAATCAAAACTAGGTTATAGCTACATCTGGGTTTTGAAGTCAGCCTCCATAGAACGGATTCTGTCAAACCCAACTCACTTGGTAGGAAACGATTAGTGGAAAAACCTGCTTTTATTTCCCTCTGCGTTTCTTCTGACTTAACATTTTGTGTCTTTAGTACAAATAACAGCCATGAAAACTGACTTCTAGATCAAGGCTACTTTGAAAAACATCTGAGAGTCATTATTTCAGAGACATCAGCCTGAAGCCATTAGAAAAGACAGCCCATGGTCCCTAACAAACTGCAGCTTCTCCACAGGAGGTACCCGTTTCTCCTTATGAGGCACTACCCACCTAACTAACAACAGAAAAGCCATACACAAAGTGCAAAGAGCCACTTGCAAGGAGACTTTTAGTTGTATCAAAATCAGTTCATCTTACAGCATGTAAAGCAGGAGCCGTCCGTGATTAAAGCACCAGACTGGGAGTCACAAGATCCAGCTTGGCCTCGGGTTATGTGACCTTCAGCAAATGCCTCAGTCTGAAAGAGAGATAAAGCAGAGGATGGTGGTGGGAGATGCTCTGTGAAGAGCTGCTTCTCAGCTCACAGCCACTGAGAGGGTGCAAAGTACTTCACCAGCTTCTGGCTACATGGACTTATGGAAGTACCTATTCTAGGAATGGGGTGAATACAGGAAGACTTTGCATTCTAAGATGGTCAAACATTAACACAGTGAATACAGCAGTGATGAAAACTCACCCACTGTCCCTTGCTAACTGGTGGAATAAATAAGGAAAAGCCTAATATCTGTGGGAGAATCAGTTCCCTAAAATTAGTAGTGTTTCTGCCTTCTAAAATTCGAAGTGAGAGTGGTCAGACAGCTAAAAATGGAGGTGGATGAGTGTCAGCAACCACTGCTGCTAATGCCTTGAAGAGCAGAGAGCAGCCAGCACTGCACCAAGCCACAAACACAGAGCCTGCCATAGAGCCAGTGCTGTCCTTGAGGCCTCTCCTCCATAAGGCTTTCAAGGATTTTGTGTTTGTTCTACTCCAGACTGAAATTAAATCACTGGGGTTTGGGACTGGTCCTGCTGCTTTATGTTTTGCAGGAAAGAAAGGAACAAGTGTGTACTGGAAACTCACCTACATAGGAAGCCTTGCAACCTGTCCGGCGTGCCTTGATTTTATCGATGCAATGATCCTGAAACAGAGCAAAACAGAAGTTGAGTACTTTATGGTGCATGAAAGCCAAAGCTAAGAGGGGGCAGCACTCGTGGGTTAATTCTAGTCCCCAGAACTACAGTATTTTGAGACTGGCCTCAGTGAAAACTCTATCTCAAACCTTTGTTATGGCAACCTCCCCTATTTCCCTTCCTAAGGATATCATGGAATGGTCTGAGTTGGAAGGGACCTTAAAGCTCATCCAGTTCCAGCCCCTGCCATGGGCAGGGACACCTTCCACTAGAGCAGCTTGCTCCAAGCCCCATGCAGCCCAGCCTGGATCACCCCCAGGGCCCTGAACACTTCCACTTCCCATTTCTGCTATGAAGATGTCCACGGATACACCCATGGGTGGCCAATTCCCTCTGGCACCTCCTAAATGTGAACAAAGCCGACAAGTCTGTGCAGCCTTTCTGCACCTCCTCCTCACTGCCACCGCAGCTCCTCCTGAAGCCCACGCTCTGCGGCAGAGGTTCCGCCCAGACCTACAGCAGGTGAGCTTCAGAGGCAGCCTTAGAAGAGCTACTGGCTTTAAAACCAGTTCAACTACTCCGGGTAGTAGTTCCATTGAGTGCCAGCATAGCTGGTGCTGAGCACATGTATTACTGTGCTCCCTGGAGACATCTGTTGAGCCTCTGCTGACAGATTCCAGCAGCTGGGTTTAAACCACAGGAAACACAAATCTGAGAGCCCACATTTCCTATGGAAACCTTTCAGGCTACCCCAGACAAAACCAGGACACACATCCAGAAGAGACCCTGGAATCTGATCAGTCCTAAGAAGCACAAGTTCCTCTACGAGGTACTGCTCATTGCTGCAGGACTGGCAAATCCAGAGCACATGATACTTAACACCCTTAAGTTTTCATTGTATAAAACAGTATTTAAAACTGAAACTATGCAACAAGGACAATCCAATGATGGCAGCAGTTTTCCAAGAGTGTTGGTCATGAATGACAGTGGAACTGGGCACCTGAAATGTACAACTGAGAGATCCCAAGGGTTTATTTGCTTAAAAACATCTACACTACACTCACAGGCCAAGTTGGCTGCCTTGACAATATGGGTAAAAGAGGTGGTGACAGAAAACATAAGGTGATAAAACCATAAGCTCCTGTGATAGCTGGGGGGGACTTCACTGTCAAGTAAAGTTGTCTTTCTTTTCACTCACATTGCTTTGCTGTTGCATGAAGTTTAAGGACATGCACATTCAGTGTAATACACACAAATATATGTTTCAGGTTCTAAACCCAGCAATTAATAACCTAACACTGACTGGTAATTGCTGTGTTAACCTTTCCTGTCACTTATAACAGCTTTAGATTGTTTTGTGTCCCTGGAGAGACACCCACTGTCAAATACAGTGCAGAACACAGATTAACTGTGCGGGGTATTTACTAACCTGGCAAAGCTGCTGGGACACAGATAACTCATTAACCAGGGCACAGCAGGATCCAGGATTGCCACTGACACCTCTTGGAGGGAAACCAACTATCATTTGCCACGGGAGATCTGGCTTCGAGCCCTGGCACTGCTCAGCAACGGGCCCAGTAACACAATGAGCCCTGAGATGCACCAGCCCCGGTATGCACGAAATGCAAAGCTGGTTCCTGGCACAACAGATTCCCAAGGGATGGTCCTTAACAAGGCAGAGAGGTGGAAATTTCCCCTTTATAAATCACATGCCATTGCTCGGGATGGAAACAGCGTCACCATTTTAATAGAGGCAGTTAAAGTCATTGTGTGGAGCAGGGAAATAAACTGCGTTGGAAAAGAGACTGTGTCGCTGCAGCCAGGGCTTGTCCCAGTGCCAAGCTGTGCTTTCCACATACAGGAACACAAATAAATCCAGCCCAGAACCCTCTTTACACACGTGACAACTGTGCTGTGCAAAATAGGGGTTTTAATGGGAAAACTTCTGCTCTGTTGATATGTAGCTTCTCCTTCCAGTCACAACCCTGAAAATTGTTAAGGAACAGCAAGAAGAATGTTAATCTGTTGACTTCTGCTTCCTGATGGAGTCAAAACACAGATTCACACAGAATGGTTTGAGTCAGGAAGAGAACTTCAAAGGTCATCTAGTCCTACCCCATCTCTAAAAGCATCTAACAAATACAGCTCATAGAGGCCACTTTCACCCTGGAGCCATGAAGACTCAATATTCCTGCTTAATCCAAGCTCCTATCAAATTAGTCATAAAAACCCACAAACCCAATGTTACAAGGATAGTTTGAGGCTGGTGTAGTGCACCCCCTCTGTGCTGCATAGCTGGGGTGTAAGTGTGCAGAGGTCAACACATCCTTCGGAAGGAATAAATTAGAGAAGGACGCATGGGAGGGAAGAGATGAGGGAATACCACTGCCAAATGGTTCTGAGACAGCATCCCGAGCCTAGGTCCTCCTGCACAACGGGACCCGGCAGCCAGCTCCAGCCGGAGCATGCCTGTCTGCAGGACAAACCCCTTGCAAGTTTTACAGCAAGGCAAACCAGATTCAGCTGGGAAGATGATGGTCCATCTCCCAAAACTGTCAGTGACACTTTCTGCTTATCCCAGCTCCACGCTTAGACCAAAAAGCCTGACTTTTTTGGGAGATGAAAACATGCTTTGAGATCTACTCAAACTTCTGCAATCAAACTTATTCACAGCAATAAACAACAAAATAACAGTTTCCAATACCTTAAACAAGAAAGGGTTACAAGAAAGCTGGAGAGGGGCTTGGGACAAGGGCTTGTAGGGACAGGCCAAGTGGAATGGCTTGAACCTGCCCGAGGGGAGACTGAGCTGAGCTCTTAGGCAGAAGCTCTTCCCTGTGAGGGTGCTGAGGCGCTGGCACAGGGTGCCCAGAGAAGCTGTGGCTGTCCCATCCCTGGCAGTGCTCAAGGCCAGGTTGGACACAGGGGCTTGGAGCAAGCTGCTCCAGTGGAAGGGGTCCCTGCTCGTGGCAGGGGTTGGAACTGGAGGAGTTTTAAGGTCCCTTCCAACACAAACCAGGCTGGGGTTCTGTGATTTTACTTCCAAACAGTACCAACATTGTTAGGGCAGTGACCCTGGTGGTTTAACCCTCCAGATGGCTGCAAAGCCTCAGCCTTGGTTGGAGAACGTAACAACCTTGTGAAGCACGAACTGTTCTTACAAGAAGATGATGATGCAGGAAAACAAGACTGGCTGAAAGATCAAGGCTTTCTGTTAACAAAAATAACTCCCTTCCACTTAATCTCTCAGAAATGAGACTTTCTGTTGCTTAACATCCTCCTTCTCCACACCAACAGACCCTTGCCTGGTGAATGGAGTTGGAGATGCTTTCAGAATTATTTTGTTTCAGACGCAAAAGCCTCCTGGGCTTTTTCAGCACTGCCACATCTGCAAATCCCTGTTTCGGGCTGTTTTACATTCACCTCGAGTACTTCCTACAACAGCACAGCTTTCCAGAGGACAACTTGTCACCGTGTTTAATAAGGACAACTGATGAGGGATGTCAGCAAGAGAGAAGGTGATTAATACAAGATTTTGAAAACACATGTAAAGCTGCCCCACACTACAGCACAGGATCCTTCATAGGAACTTTGTTTTTCTAACACAAACTCTAATGATCAGCCCTGGGACTGAATTTCTTCCATGCCCCTGTGCTATGGCAGCATGCAAGAAATGGTGAAAATGCCTGTGGTACCTGCTTGTGTTTGGTTTCATAAACAGAAAGGCAATTTTCTTCTGGAAATACTCTGGCTGTTCATCAGGATGACTGATGACATGGCAAAGAACCTTCTTTATTAACTGCAAAGGTATACACAGACACACTGAGTTCAAACTGCACCAGTCACTGAGGAGATTGAAGTCCAAAGACCTAACAACAGAGGCCAGAAATCTAAACATATCCATTAGGGACAGACAGCTCAGGAAAGGCCCCTCCAGAGACAGACTTCCTACATGACAACTAATTATAAATGAAAACTTAAACCTATAAATGGTTAGAATTCCTGTTTCTGCTGAATAAGCCATCTCTGCTGCCAGGCCACCTTTATATCTTCTGTCACCATCAAGTCCCCTCTTGCAGCTCTTCCCAACCCTTCCTGCTCTGCAAGCCAGATGCACAGCACAGCTTCCATAGCCATAGCAGTTTCCCCTAGTTCTCAGCCCATGCTTTTCCCTTTCCAATAATACTGGAGCTCAGGCTCAGGGGAGACCTTAGAGCAGCTCCAGTGCCTAAAGGGGCTGTAGGAAAGCTGGAGAACGGCTTTGGACAAGGGCCTGTAGGGGCAGGCCAAGGGGAATGGCTTGAACCTGCCCAAGGGGAGACTGAGCTGAGCTCTTAGGCAGAAGCTCTTCCCTGTGAGGGTGCTGAGGCGCTGGCACAGGGTGCCCAGAGAAGCTGTGGCTGCCCCATCCCTGGCAGTGCTCAAGGCCAGGTTGGACACAGGGGCTCGGAGCAAGCTGCTTCAGTGGAAGGGGTCTCTGCCCATGGCAGGGGGTAGAACTGGATGAGCCTTAAAGTCCCTTCCAATTAAAAACCACATTCTGTGATTCTATGATTCTATATCCACCAGTCCCTCATGAGAGCATCCCACACCTTCTCTTATGCTTCGTGCTACAAGGGCAGTGCTGGGTCCCCCAGCATCATCTTATCATGACGGAAACTGGGAAGGGGTTTTTCTTGCTCTCCTCATCTTTGAAGCACCAGAAAACCTTTTCTCCTCCCCATGGTTAATCCTATACGCCCACTATGATCAGCACAGTAAGCCTGGTCCCTGCTTTGAGCTGAGCTGACTAAACAAGAGATGACCCCACACTGATGCTGAGTCCCAGCGATCCCGCAGGAGCCAACATGGCACCGGCCCTCATGCGTGGGCTCAGGATCTGCGGCATCCCAGAGGCTGCATCCCACAGCCATCAGCTGCTGCAGTACAAATAACCCTTCTAACACACTTGGTTTCTTGTTTTACTCTGAAATCCCATCACATGCCAAGATGCTGATACGGATACAGGAAGCTGAGTATAAACACATCGCCTGTTTGACCAAACACTCGAAGGAACATGACTAAAAATACTCAG